TTTTTTTGGTCCAATCTCTCTTATCTATGTGGGTGTGCAGACATAACAATGTGTGAATAAAATTGGGGTTGGCTTTGACAGTACAGCGCCAAAGCGGCTCATAAGAACCTGGCAACGATGGCTGCAGCACCAACAAGCCAAGAAACAAAAAAGCCACTGACATACAAAATTTAAAAGAAGAGGAAAAAGGAAAAAAAAACGAACAGATAGGCTTAAAAAAAAAAAAAGAAAATGAAAAGAGGAGAAAAAAGAAAAAGAAAAAAAAAAGCTCCTGTTAGTAGATCAAGATCTGTTTGTTGACCTTTAGGAGCATTTTCTGGACGAGTCTAATGGGGTGCTATGTCCTGGCCCCAGAGTCCATCGTTTGTGTTCCCTCGGGACCTCATTGCTCTGCTTCCCTGCCACTCCATTGCACGCCCCCAGTGTTTTGCCTCAGTGTGCTGGGGTCAGCACAGTCGCCCATCCCACACTGTGTCTCTGGTGCTGTCCTGCGGTGCTTCTCTTTTAAAACACTGCTGACTTAGGAATGCCAGTCATGTGGTTCTGTTTTATATCAAGATTATGGCAACCTCACAGGTTATTAAGCTCCTGTTTCTGGAGCATTTGGTAGAACTCAATAAAACTGACTGAGCTTGGTACCTTTTGTAGTAGGGGTATTGTTAACATACATATCATTGAAAACATCTGTGAGGTATTAGACTGTCCAGGTATTTGCATTCTTTTATAAGTGTTTTGAAATTTGTTTCCTAGTAAAATATTTAATAAATAAAAATGCAGAAAGTACTTGGATCACATTAACAACAAACAAACCAACCCTGACTACTCACCACCCCAAATTGGCAATGTTCACTTCAACGAGTTTTTTAAGTTGTTGGCAGGACAATAATCCAAACCCATGGAGTCGATTTTGACACATAGTGACTTATAGGGTATGTATTACAGGGTAAAGTAGAAGTGCTCCCTAAGGTTAGAGCTTACGGAACCTCATCTTTCTCCTGTGTAGCAGCGGTGAGTTTGAACCACTGACCTGGGGCAAGCACCCCAACGTGTCACCTGCTACACCACCGGGGCTTCTTGGCAGAGGCACATTTCCTCCAAATCCTGTATGGGAGGATGACTCCATGTTTGTTCCAGCCTCTGTTAGCCCCTGCTTTTCCTTGGTTTGTGCTTTGTAGCTTGTTTGTGATTCAAGGTCATTCCAATCTCTGTCTCTGTCTTCTCACATGACTACTTGCGCTCTGGTCTGCCTGTCTCACATGGTGCTTCCTTTGCATGTGTCTGCATCTCTTCTCCTTTGAAAAGATTCCTGGTCTTTTTGGACAGGGGCCCCCTCTCCCAGTATCTTAACTAATTCCTTATGCAAATAATAACTTTTCTCAATGAACTTTAATGTAATGTAATCAATTGAATGTAGGTTGGTTTCTGAACTGAATCACTTCTGGGTTATATAAAGAAAGGTACACACACATACACACAGGAGCTCGTGCAAACATGTATACACACAAGTACTCCAGGAAGAAGGTAAATGTCATGAGATAATTTTCTGCAAGCAAAGGAACCCCAAGAATTCCCACGAGACACCAGAAACTAGAAGTAAGGCTTACTGGACTCAGCATAGTTGAGACCCTGATTTGGATGTCCAGCCTCTTGGGCAATGAGAGAATCAATTTCTATTCCTTAAAACTGGAATTTTAAGGAGTATTACTTAAATGGTGTTACTATGCTTATATTTAAGAGTGGAAAGATAAGTGTGGGCTTGCTAATGAAGTGCCATCAATTATAATACTTAGTTGCTTTGACTTAGAAAGTCTCCATAACTAGTAATCAGTTGCTATCAACTTGATTGGAGCTCATGTTGGCATGAGATGCAGAGCAGAGTGGCCTATATGCTATGGGATTTTTCAATTCAGTGACCATTTGGAGATAGATCACCAAGGCCTGTGGTAGTTACTTAATCTGCTGTTAACTTGTGAAGGGTTGGAGTCTAGCCTGTCAATCAGGTTGTAGCTTGATGACCTCATTTGGAGGTGCCTAGGAGATAAATAGCTCACTGAAGGCCAGATACACTCACTACCTGCAAGATAGTACTGATGATGAGTCTGACGGAGCTACACTGATGCAGCCAGAGCCCTGGAGCTAGAGGAGCCACATGGAGCCCCACACTAGTGCTGAGATGCTTCTACCACCACTGGGTCCACAACACTTTCCACCCACAGGCCTGTGATCTTCCTACATTTGGCATCATTGCACATGGACTTGATCTGGATTGGTATGGGAAGTTTTATCAATATTCAATTACTTTTGTATATAATGCTCTTTCTTATACACATATGAGTGTCTATGAATTTGTTTCTCTAGTCAACCTGGACTAACACAATCTCTCCTTTATGGCTTCTTTGGGTGAATCCAAGCATTGAGGTTAGTAGTCAAATGCTTAACTAATTGTATCATGGTAGGATAACTGAAAACCTTGGTACCCACGAACAAAAACTTCAATCTCTTACCCTGGAGTTGATTGTACTCTGTGGTGGCCCCATGAGTGACAGAAGAAAATGACTCCATAGGGTTGTCTTGGCTGTAAACCTTAGAGAAGCAGATCA